TCTTGTCTTGCCTTGTCTTGCCTGGCCTTGTTGTGAGGTGGGCTGGCTGGTGGGGTGAGGGCAGGTGGATGTGGTCTGGATATGGGTATGGGTATGGGTACGGCTATGGATGGGTGTGGTAGGGAAGGTAGAAAATGGAGTGAGTTTGTCTCGTTGAGTGGCTAGGTGTTTGCTTGTTTGCTTAAATACATTACTACGTTCGCTCTCCTACACTGGTGGCGTCAGGCCGTGCCAGGCCAGATGGTGTTTGCGCGAATGGATATATGATACAACGCACAGCTGGCGAGCGCGTGAGCTGGTAAGTTGCTTTGATTGATTGATGACAGATGGATGGTTGGTCGTATGAACGTTCGTTCAGTCTGTCTTGCTGTCTCTGCCGCGTAGACTTTCGAGGATTGAACTTAAGATGTATATGTGTGTGGATGGAATCCGTATGATCGAGCAAAATACACCCGCAACGCCGCCTTTTGCGCTTCCTGTCCTGCCCGCTCTTACCATCTATGCATGCATACAGCGGCCTTGGGCGTGTGGCCGAGCTCCCACTTTTTTCTTCTTTCCGCTTTCTAGCAACCAATTCCAACCCCACGCACTACCAGGCTTCTCAACAACAGCTTTTAAAAGCTTTGACGTCCTCACAGCCAGCCAGCCAGCCAACTAGCCCCTCTACTTCCTCCCGGCATTCCGCCTCGCCTTGCCCGGCCGCTTGGACGCGCCGCCCGTCTGGCCCTTCATCTTCTTGACCGAGAAGCCGCGCATGTCGGCGCTGCTCTGCGCGTCGGTGCTCTTGGCGAAGCGCTTCTTGCCGCCGAAGCCGTACTTGGCGTCCTTCTTTGCGCGCTTGGCGTTGGGGCCGCCGCCGTGGCGCTCGCGGCGCGCTTGCTTGTCGGCGCGCTCTGTCACGGCGGCATCTTCCAGCGCTACGTCGAACATGTCTTCTTCGTTTTCGTTGCCAATGTCGGCGCCTTGGCGCTCTGTTGGAGGTGTGTGTTAGCAAACATGCACTGTGTTGGAAGAAAAGAGGAGAAGAGGTTGGAGTTGGAGAGGTTGCTTTTAGCGGTTTGGGCGGAAAGGATAGGGAAACGTACTCCGCTTCAGCAGGTTGATCTTCTCCATGGTCTCGCGCTTCGCCTTGTCGCGCTCCTGCAGCTTCGCGACCTGCACCGCCTTGCCGAACTTCTTGAGGTCGCGCTGGCGACGCGCCTCGGCGGAGGCCTTTTTGCTGGCCGCCTCGTCGATCAGCTTCTGCTTGATCTTGCCCATGTGCTCGTCGCTCTTGACCATCTCGGCGAAGTAGTCGTTGGGCCGCGTGAAGGGGGCGCCCTCCTTCTTCAGCTGCGTCTGCGCCTCCTTGACCGCCGTCAGCGCCTGCTGGTAGAAGGCCAGCTCGCGGTTCAGGTCGTCGTTGGTGTCGGCAATCTCCGTCGGCTTGTCGCTCGTGATCGACATGTGTTCCGAGAAGGCCATCTTCGCCGTATTGTACGCGATGCGGTGCACGGCGGCCGTCATGGCGGCTGTGTTGTTGATCGTCAGCCGCTGGTGCGGGATGATGTCTTCCTTGTCCTCTGACGCGACGGATTCGAGATCTGATAGAGCAATGTCTTCGTCTTCCTCGGCTTCTTCGAGCTCCTCGTCGTCCGACTCGGACTCGCTGTCCGCAAGTCTCGACAGGTCGAGTTGTTGCTGGTAGTAGTGGTCAGCAAGGAATGTTTGGTGCATGGCGGGAACGCGCGGTGACGCACCTTGGAGTCTTCATCCTCCTTCTCGTCGTCTTCGTCGGATTCCTCGTCCTCGTCCTCGTCCGTGTTCCAGTCCTCGGTGTCGGGTTTCTTCTCCGCTACCACCTTCTTCTTGGTCGCCTTCACAGCCTTGTCCGTCTTCCGGCCTTCCTTGCCCTCCTGCGCGACACCGTTCAATGCGACGCCACCGACGTCCTCATCTCCACTCTCCTCTTCCTCGTTCTTCTGCTTCTTTTCCTTCTTGCGCTTCTCGGCCTTCTTCACCATGCGCTTCTGGTTCTCGAGCTTGTCGTCGACGCCCTTCTCGTTCTTCAGGGCATTGAGCAGCTTGCTTCCACCCTTCTTCACCATTTTGACGGCGCAACGGGTATATGTGCTGGTGGGTATTGGTGTCGTTGGTTGTCTTGGTCTCCGAAATTTTTGGAGATGCGATTCATTAGCTTGGCGGGCTAGACTCACCGCCCGCGCCCGTTGTCCGTGCGCTGCGCATCCCTGCCGCTTCCCGTGCATGGGGCTGACTCGCTGCTCGCTCTGCACATGAACTACGGATTACCTTTCCGTCACCACAACTACCTACCTCCTAAACAGCAGCTTCCCACCATCGCAATCCAGTCACACCTCCTCGATGTCTTGAAAACTACTAGTGACCCCCTATATACATCCACTCCTGCCGCCCAGCTTACTAAGTACTCCTACTTTTACACACCTTTCTGGGGCCGTCCCGCCTTCCAATCTGATTGCACCATATCATCACCATTGACACGCCGTGTGAACACGCTCACTAGTTCTGAGTCGCCTTACGGCACATAAAGCCATGGGACGAAGTGCGAGTGCCGAGGGCAAGAACACCAAATAAGCCTTAAGCATGAAACAAGCCCGTCTGAAGGTGCTCATGTTTACGATATTCGTGAAGGAATTGTCAGTGTTTAATTGTCTGAAATTAATTGTGCTTGTTGGTCCCTGATGGAGGCTCCCTTGACGTTGCGTATGTGGGTCCCGGTTTTGGTAAGATTTGAGGGGTGTGGTTGTGCTGTGTTTTGTCCTGAGCCAATTTGGGTGTTCATTGACATCGTATACAGGAAAGCTCTTTTGGGGATTGAAGTTGTAACTGTAACCCAATGAATGTCTCAATTAAAGAGGTGGTGGCGGAGGTATCTACGGAGAGCCATTCCCGTCGTGCTGATACTCGTCTCCAGAAGATTCTTCTACTTCAGAATATGGTGGTAGAGCAGCCATTGAAGAAGCGGCGGAATCTCTTGCGTGGCGTGGCTGAAGCGTCCTTCGAATAGGAAGGCCTTGGTCTTTACGTCCGTCTGCGTCGTCGTCTTCTTCTTCTTTGGTGCCAGCTACGGTGTTTTCAGCTTCCTCTTCACTCGATGTTGGCTGCTCCTCCAAGTCCTCCTCATCTGTTGTCTGTGGAACCTCCGTAGCACGTTCTCCTAATAGGAAATTTCCGTCGGCATCCATTGCGTCGACACCCGTTGCATCCAGAGCCTCAACCGCTTGTAGGAGCCTAGATGAACCACGTCGTGTCCGAGATGCGGCTCCCCTTGCGCGCTGCATCCTTTGATACGTTTCTTTGAACCTTTCTTCCGGCACAGTCGCTCCATAGCGCTCCCACTCAGATTTATAATCGACAAGATCCCGCCAATCACTCAATTCTCCGCCCACTTTACGGTCAATCGGTGGCCTTCTTGGTAGTTTGCCAGCAACCAGTGCGAGTGTTGATGGACGTGGCTGGCCAAGTATTTCCCATAGCTGTAGCTCCTCAAGTTGGCTTTGTTCCTGGTCACGTTGCTCGGCGTATTCTTCCTGGGTTATATCGCATGATTCATCATCTTCCATGTCGTCTTCAGCCCCGTCTGATTGAGAGATGGCATCACTGTCCGATTCCGCGTCTGCGGGGACCCCATTTCCGCCGTTTTGAGTTGTAGTGGATTTATGGGGTCTTCCTGGCTTTCCCTCGAGTTTGCGTTCCACTTCGTCGTAAGTGAGGGTCTTCAAGTCTTCGTCTTTCAACTGCGAAAGCTTTGAGTAAACCAAGACCCCTGACCGGCGAGGAGCTCTGATCCAGAATTCTCTTGCATTCTTGGGCATGTTGAGTATGTCCAGAGCTGTGATGACGTCTTGTTTGCGGACAGATGGCTCACTAGTCGGTTCATGATACGGTTTGTCCCTCGCACGAAGCCGAGAAGTAGCCTGATTTAAGCTCACATGAACAAGTCGTCTGGTGACGCTGACTGCTAGCTTGTGGAAATCAGCAAATGCACTGTGGAAAATGCCGAGTTCTTCGTCGTCCTCAGTAAGGGAACTCCAATTTTCATCTTTCCGCTGGCCACCCGCATTCATGAAGACGCGGTCAGAGAGGTTAAGCCAGGTTGAAAGATCCAGGAGATGAGCAGCAGGTACGGCATCTGCTGCTATATCAGACCCCTCTTTCACATCTTGTCGTTCATGCTCTTCCGAATTCTGACCAGCAAATTTCCTAGAGCCGACGGTGTTTTCTTCCTCTAGCGCACCGTTGTTGGCTAAAAATGAGTCGATCGAAGTGGCAATGCTCTCAGTAAGGAGCCATTGGTCGCCATACTTCTGTTTCTCCAGCTCAGAGTCCCAGTTGTGCTGATACATGGACAGTGTTTTCCCCGCAGACTCTAATTTTTTGCAACACTCTTCGCTGATCTCGGCTGCGGCTGGGATTTGATCTAAACTGATCCGCTCATGATGCACATCATGAAGCTGATTCTCCACGAAACCCTCCTTTAGAGTCAACAAAAAGCCCCGGATTTCGGGCTCTGCTTTGGTAGCCACGGCTATTGTGATTCTGGGGATGTCATTTTCCCCATATCTGCTCAAGGCGTTGAAGAACTTTTGCTTTTCAGTGATCGTCCAATCCGAGACGCCCTGCTGAGACGGCACAAGACGGTTACCCAAGTTACGCGTAGGCACGTCTTCTGTTAATTCGATAACCATGGAATTGTACAATTGTCGGTATCCATCATTGTACTCGTTCTTCAGTCGCGTTGTTTTCGTTGGTTGATCATAGTTCCTCCGTTTTCGTTTCTTGCTGGGCTGTTCAGGCTCGCGATCAATCACAGGTGGCTCTTTCACAGACTCTGGTTCAGAAGGGGTTTCTTGCGCTACCGGGACTTTATTGGAGGCTGCATCGCTGTAGACGCTTCCCTCGGTATCGCTCACCGCGCTCATATTCGGGTTGGAGGAAAGTGACGAATTTTGTGAAAGCGGCTACCCTTGGAATTGACTGGAAAACCCGACAGAGAGCATAAACCATAGATGTTGTTTGCTTGCGTGCATGGCAAGCTTCGAGTTCAATATCAAATTATCGGCGGAAAGATCCAAGCTCCGGAGAATTCTCGGGAAATTTACTATCGACCATAGGTGCCATCCATCCGCGACTCAACTTCAATTACGTTAGGAGCTCAGGTCTGTTGACGACTACACACATCAAGTTGCCGGCAGATGCTCCGAATAACTCGCCATGCATTGAGGTCCTTCGCGTACGGGTCGAGGCCCATCCAAAGACGAATACCCGTCCGCTATGCCTCCGTCGCAACGCAGAGCGTGGCGAGCGACGTTGATGTCGTCGCCGACGCCCCGCCTCCACCACCGATAACGAGCACAGGAATTCAACTGCGGGACTATCAAGAAGAGTGCATACAGAGCGTCTTGTCCTACCTTGACAAGGGGCACAAGAGGCTTGGGGTTTCGCTGGCAACGGGTAGCGGGAAGACCGTATGCTCGATTCAAGAAATAATACTCCGAATACGCACTAACAACATTCCCCCAGGTCATTTTCACGCAGCTCATAGAGCGAGTAACCCCACCGACCGAAGATGCGACCCAAACCCTCATTCTTGCTCATAGACGGGAGCTTGTCGAGCAGGCGGCGCGCCATTGCGAAAGAGCATACCCACATTTGACAGTGGACATTGAGATGGGCAACAGCCATGCTACGGGTGCGGCTGACATCACTGTTGCGTCGGTGCAAAGCATCATGTCCGGCGAACGTATAGAAAAGTTTGATCCGAACCGGTTTAAGCTTGTTCTCGTGGATGAAGCTCATCATATCGTCGCTCGCAAATACCTGGAATGTCTGGATTACTTCGGAATAAAGTCCAAAACCAACAACAACGCAGCTTTGGTGGGCGTATCTGCCACTCTTTCTAGATTTGATGGACGAAAGCTAGGTGTGGTCATTGATCACGTCGTGTACCACAAAGACTACGTGCAGATGATTGAAGACAGCTGGCTGTCGGATGTTATTTTCACTACAGTCGCCTCCAAGGTCGACCTCTCTGGCGTCAAGTTGGGCGCAAACGGAGATTACGCAACTGGTTCATTGTCGGAGGCCGTCAATACGGACGAATCGAACGAGATCACTGTACGGTCGTGGCTAGCCAAAGCTAAGGCAAGGAAATCGACTCTGGTATTCTGCGTTGACCTTGCCCACCTAACTAGCTTGGCAGCCACTTTCCGCAGACACGGCATCGATGCTAGGTATGTTACCGGAGATACTCCTAACAAAATCCGCAGTGAGCGGATCGACGCTTTCAAAAATTTCGAGTACCCTGTGCTCCTTAATTGTGGCGTCTTTACCGAGGGCACCGATATTCCAAACATCGACTGTGTCGTCCTTGGCCGACCGACCAGATCGCGCAACTTGCTCATACAAATGATTGGTCGAGGCATGCGTCTGTATCCAGGCAAGAAAGATTGTCATGTCATTGACATGGTTGCCACACTTGAGACGGGAATTGTCACTACTCCGACCCTTCTCGGTCTAGACCCCGATTCCATACTTGAGTCTGCTACCATGGACGACACCAAGAAGCTCAAGGAGCGGAAAGAGTTGGAGAAGCGACGCGAAGAAGTGCTGTCTCAGGTTGATCCGCAGTCATCGAGGCATCCCACTATCAAGAGCACCATCACGTTCACCGACTATGCCTCAATACACGATTTACTTGATGATGCATCGGCGGACCAGCATGTGCGTCGATTGAGCAACTTTGCCTGGGTTTGTTGTGGTGTGGATCGCTACATACTTGCTACCCAGGGTCAGGGATACTTGAAGATCGAGAGAGACGAAGAGTCTGAACGTTTCACGGTTAAGTACACTGCACTGTTACCCAAGTTCCTGCGGATGAAGAGCCCGTATATGGCGCCCCGGTCGATTGGAGATGCAGAAACACTAGAGCATGCGATCCGCAGCGCCGACACGTTCGCGTCGGAAACGTTCCCGCTACTGTTTATTGAGAAATGGCAGTCGTGGCGCAAGCGGCCGGCGTCTGAAGCACAGCTGGAGTTTCTGAACAAGCGACGCGACGCGAACCACCAGCTGACGCCCGACACATGCACGAAAGGGCGGGCGCAGGACATGATGACACGACTGAAGCACGGCGCAAAGGCGCGTTTCGAGAAGATACGGGTGCAGAACTCGAAGAAGGAGCGGGAGCGGCGGCAGATGGAGAAGATGAACGAGAAGCTCAATCCTGTAGTGGGCGTGGGCCCGCTCAACGAGCAGTAGATAGATAGTACTAGAAACGCGAAACGCGTGGCACCCCTGAAGCAAAGCAAAGCAAAGCGAAAGCAAAGCAAAGCAAACTGCGACGACGCGCCATCAAGGATCGAAGGCCCATGCTCGGAGATTGACTGGGACTGGGGGCTACATGGATGGATTGGGGGCGGCGGAAGGGCTGTGACAAAAAGTCGAGTCGTCGTCATTGGTGCGCCGTTTCTCTCGCTGTGCCTCGCGGGCTGGGCCAGCACGGGGCAAGCCAGACTTGCAGCTAGGCCCTCTCCGCCCATCGCAAATCGAGCCTGCGTGAGCCAGATGCGCCATAATTAATTCCCTTGCTCCCGAGACAGAGGCCGTCCCCTACCCTCAAGCCCCAAGCCGTCGCTCGTTGTCCCTCCAAAGCTTGGCTCCCGTGAAACGAAGCTTGCCATAGCCTCGCGCGCCCACTTCTCCCAGCGGACCCCAACTCTCGCTGTGCGCCCGTCCCCTCTTGGCTCCCCCGGACGATCATTTTTGCTTTGCACCACACCCGGCCGACGCCGCTGCGGCCCTGAGCAGCCCGTGTTTAAATGAGGAGACGGCCGTCTGGCTCGGCGACCGACGAGGAAGACGACGACCACCTGCCCACCCAGCCGTCGCGCGGCCCCGAGCATGGCGATAGGCGCTCCGGCGACCTGACCGGTGCTCCACGGACCTCGAAGGACGTCGGCGCGAAAGAGAGACGCAAGAACAATGAGCCTGCGGCAACTTCGTCTCTGACAACGTCGCACCTCTGGCTCTCCGATTCGCACACCGCAACTCTGTCCGAGAAAGACATGCGCTCCTCCAATATGCTGGCCAAGGACATCATGCCCGACGACGTCGTGGAGGGTTACCGTAGACGGAAGTCGAGATGGCGGAATCCGTGGTCGTTGTCCTTGCTGACGTTGGGCACTACGGTGCTTGCGGCCATGGCGCTCTTCGGCATCGTCCAGTCGTTCTTCACGCGCCAATTGGACCCCAAAGGCTGCTTGATGTCGCGCATGTGGGCGGCTTTTGTCCAGTACCACGACTTTGACACCGAACACACCCGATTCGCCAGTAAATACTCGCTATATTTGTACAGGGAGGGAGGCATCGATGAGGATACACGGGTAGGATGGTTTGTTTCTGATGCCTTGGTTAGGCTAACGCGCCGCAGGTCAAAGGCGTCCCCGTCCTGTTCATTCCCGGCAACGCTGGAAGCTACAAGCAGGTCCGCTCGCTGGCCGCCGAGGCTGCATACCACTATCACGACTTCATTCAAACCGACCCTGATGCGCTCGCTGGCGGAAAGAGAGCCCTGGACTTCTTCTCGGTCGACTTTAACGAGGACATCACGGCGTTTCACGGCCAGACGCTGCTCGACCAGGCCGAATACCTGAACGATGCAGTGGCCTACATTCTCTCTCTTTATCATAACCCGCACCGCTCGATAAGGAGCCCAGATCTGCCTGATCCGAGCTCTGTTATCATAGTCGGACATTCGATGGGCGGTATCGTTGCGCGCACGATGCTCACGATGCCAAATTACCAGGCCAACTCTATCAACACCATTATCACCTTGTCCGCACCGCACGCACGACCGCCCGTCTCGTTCGACTCCGACATCGTTTCCACATACAAGAACATCAACCAGTACTGGAGACACGCTTACTCGCAGAAATGGGCGAATGACAACCCTCTTTGGCACGTGACACTGATCTCAATTGCTGGAGGCGGGCTGGATACGGTTGTCCCGTCGGATTATGCGAGCATCTCCTCTTTGGTCCCAGAGACACATGGATTTACCGTCTTTACTGCCTCAATGCCGCATGTTTGGACTGGAATGGACCATTTGGCAATTACATGGTGTGACCAGCTCCGCAAGAGTGTCATACGTGCCGTGTATGATGTGGTAGATGTGTCTCGTCCAATGCAGACCGTTCCTCGGGCGGAGCGGATGCGCGCATTCAAAAAATGGTTTTTGACTGGATTGGAAGATGTCACCGAAAAGACACTGTCCCACACGGAACCGAAAACCCTGCTCACACTGGAAGACAACTCGAATTCGATCATCCCGCAAGGCGAGAAGCTGGTCTTGAAGTCATTTGGCCAATTGAAGAAACCCAGAGCGCATCTTATGCCAGTTCCTCCTCAAGGTGCGCCTGAAGGGAGAAAATTCACGCTTTTGACAGATCAAAAGGTTGATGCATCTGGCGAGAACGGCAAGCTTGAAGTGTTATTCTGCAGCGTGTTTCCTTTGCAGGCCGGGCACTCAGCGGCCATTTTTTCGATGGACATGGACCTTTCTGGCGACAGTTCCGGCTCCACGCGCCTCGCATGCAAGAACGCGGCAAGCGACGTAATCAGCCTTCCAGCTTCCACCAAGAACTCCCAATATGCGTTCGACGACGCCCAGCCATTTTCGTACCTTCAATACGATCTGGAAGACCTTGCGGACCATCAGTTCGTCGCTGTAGTCGACAAAGCGGTGGATCACTCAAAAGGATGGGTTATTGCGGAATTCAGCAGTCGTTCCCAGTCTATGATTCAGGCGGACGCTAGCCTCCGGCAATTGCTGAACCGTGGCCTTCACTTGAAACTTCCGGCAAAGCGGCCCATGGTGACCGAGGTCAAGGTACCGGCACTGCATTCGAGCTTGTTGGCGTACAAGCTTCGCATTGACAAAAAGTCCTGTGGTGACAACCAAGAGCTTTTTGCTCCGTTGCTGCGCCAATATATTCAGGAGATTTATGAGTCTAAATTTTACCCCAATGCCAAGGAGACGGACATCAATCTGCATGGCGTCGCGCCGTACATGCCTCCGCCTTTCAAACGGAACAGCCCATCGGATGCCATGAACGGCCTATCGCTACAGCTTTGGACGGATTCGACTTGCGAATCGAGCATGGATATCCATCTGGATGTCGATATATTCGGCAGCATGGGAAAGCTTTGGATGCGGTATCGCACTGTTTTTGCGACCTTCCCGTTGGTTGCAGTAGCATTGATCTTGAGGAAACAGTTCAAGGTGTACGATGAGACGGGTATGTGGAGTCGCCAGGATATATTCGAGCGTGTCGCTAACAAAGATTCAGGTATCTTTATGAGCTTCGCCGAAAGCACAAACCAGTGCTTGCAATCTTCTCTCCCCGTGCTTTTTGTTGCGCTGACCTTCTGCGGCTTATCTTTGGCAAACTCGAGCCAGGCGTCGTCGCACGGACCGTCGCATTGGTTCCCGTTCAGGTATAGCAATGCGACAGAGTCCATCTTCGACTACTCGAAGAACGACTTGCTACTAGGCTCGCAGGACCCCTTCTTCTGGTTCCTGGTGCCGCTGTTCGGTTTAATCTGTACCGGCATCGCCATCGCCATGAATTACGTCTGTCTTTGCATTATACACATCTTCGCGGCGGTATATGGCCGTGTGCGACCCATGGTCTGCCTTGGATGTAGCGACGGAAGGTAAGTCAAGACTTGCAGTGCACACACGGCATAAAGTTAACAGCTCTCCAGGCGCTCTCCCGCAGCATTCGCAGTGACATCAACAAGGCAGCGAGTCATTACGACTAGCGTGCTGCTCCTGATGATCTTGACTGTCATTCCATACCACTTTGCGTACATGGTGCTCTGCGTAGTGCAGATCGCCACGTGCACCCGCGCGCTCAGGTTTGCTCGCGAAACGGTAAAGCTGTCCGAAGATCTGCCGTGTATAGTACGCACCTTGTACTAACCTCATCACAGCGCTCCGAGGCCAACTACAATTTCTACAACTACACGCACACGATCTTGATCCTCATGATCTGGATCCTACCTATCAACATCCCCGTTCTAGTTGTGTGGATCAGGAACCTCGCTGTCCACTGGCTTACACCCTTTTCCTCACATCACAATATCCTCGCCATCATGCCCTTTATCCTCCTAGTAGAGACCCTCAGCACCGGAAGGATGGTTCCGCGTGTTACTACTAGGTATGTTGGCTCTCTTCTATCTTTCTTTCCGCGTCCGAACAATACAGCTAACCGCACCACTCGCAGTATCCGTTATTTTACCAACGTCCTCTTCTTTAGCCTCTCCGTCTACGCCGCCATCTATGGCGTCACCTACGCCTACCTGTTGCACCACCTCGCCAACATCCTGTGCGCCTGGCTTGTCGCCATCCACCTCTCGACGACGTCCTTCTCGGTCACAGGCCTCAGCCGCATCCTCGACCCCAACGGCGAGCTGGGCGGCCATGTCAAGAAACGGCCGTAAAGCAAGACGTGATCAACCAATGGATTGATTGATTGGTCACCAGAACGGCGATTTTCCGCTGCCACGAGTTTTCTTGATTCCCTCTTGCTGTTGCTGCTGTTATCGTCTACGCGTGCAACTTACTTATTTTCTCTGTCTTTTCTTTCCTGCTTTTTTCTTCTTCTGAGCCCTTCTCGCGTTTGAGAAAAAGAGAGAGTGAGAGAACAAAGACGCCAGCCACCGTGTTACTGCTGTCGTTAGTGTTGTTGTGGTTGTAGTTGTCTACACGGGGTGCTTTTTCCGTCTTTTCTGCTTTTTTGAAATAATTGTCTCCCCCGGCGTCCGATTGGCTGGGTCGAGGGTTGCCACCACAGCACTGCGTCTTTTTCTTTTTTTGGGAATCGTCGTCAACATCACTACCACTACTACTACCTATGCTTCCCCCATGATTTATCTATGATTGGGCACTCTCACACACATCACACATACCTTTTTCTCTTCCTCCGCTGCTTTACGGGGGATGGCCGCCGCGCACGTCTGGTGATGACGGTGTGGGCACGCATTAATGTCTGCTGCTACTGTGAATAGAGATACAATGTTTCTTGCTTACTTTTTGTGCAAACGTGTGCGGTTCTGTCTGCGTTGTTTTCCGCGAGTGTTGTTTTGTGGCGGATATGTTTGTTGGTGGATGTTTGTGCTTGTGCGTGTTGTAACTGCGTGAGCTGAGCTGATGTGTTTGTGAAAGATACCCCTGGGCGAGCGTGTCAGGCGCGTTTTGCAATGTTTTGTCCTGTTCTTTTGTGGCGTAGTTGCCTAGACCGGGAAATGTGATACTTCTGCTTCTAGAAATACATGGCAAGTCCCTGGCCGATTTGGCTTGTTGCACTGGTGTTTTTGCGTGCATGCGTACTCTTGTGGTGATTCGGGATGCAGTGTACATACTACTTGTAGATTAGAAGACAACAACATAGATACTGCATTACTTCCCATACAAGTATGACCCCGTAGATATACCGATATTCTCACGTTTTAAAGTTGATGGTTGTGGGTAAAAAGTTCAAAGCCTTTATGGCCGTGTGCGTGTAGGCTCTTAGAGAAGGATCTGACGTGTTGAATCGTTCATAATATTCAGTAAAGTTATGGACTAGGTCTACTGTTTAAATAAACTTTTCGTTCATCGGATTAATATGATCTTAACAAATGTACTCTCAATCAATTTATATATATTTATATTTATAGGCTTTTGTGTATGAGATTAATCGAGTAAAATACATCTCAAATATCGTTTTACAAACTCTTCTATTTCCTAGGACACAATTCATATAAACGGCCATTTAATGCGCCTTCTTATTTAGAATAATTATATTGGTATAGTACTACGATGGTCTTTTCTCATTGTTATATCCGCTATCTACGGGCCAATATATCTATTAGATTAAATATTAACTCGTTCCTTTCCTACCGGCTCTGCTTTCGAGAGAGTGTAAGAATGTTAATATCGTGGATGGGTTAAGATTCTGTACTCGGTCGATTCGGTATTTTTAAATGTCTAGTAGTTTATTGATGATTCCGGGCGTATTAATGTTTTATTAAGTCCATAGTAGATAGTTGCTCGTTTTATTTATGAGTGTATGGCCGTTTAACTGTAAACATCTCACGCAACTCTAGATTGAAGCACTGGTTCTCGCAGACAACTAAGGTGGGAATAAAGGGTCCACGAAGCTATTCCTATTCAGTGACAATCTTATGAAATGCGTGGTAGTAGTTGTTTATAGTATTGCAGATTTGAACTCTAACATCATCCAATCTTTACATGGTAGTAATGCATTAGTGGGGTACACGTCATACACTGCGGCTTCCCCTGACGCTCACAGGGTCGGAAGCGACGAGGTCTAATACCAGCCAGTTAAGTTGTTGCACGACAGCTTTATCCCCTCGCCACTCTCATTTATAAATTGCAAGGCAGTAACGCTGTCAAAGAGCACCATTTTTACTAGATAGAAACATATATATATTGCTATAGGTCAGGCAGCGTCCGATTTCTCGCGTCTACTCCACACAGACCTACTGTATATGCACGATAGCTAGAATACTTGTAGGTCAACCCCATCTACTTAAAGGCCACAGCTAATGTGTTTTTACAGTTGTTGAGTAAATCACACGATCCGGCCTTGCATCATCTAGATGTGGCCATATATTCGATCATTCTTTGTTGCAAACGAACCCAAACCTCCACCAGTAACTATCCAGGGCGTACGAATCCCTGCTGACAGTTCCCTGCACACCTACTACCTTTGACCACGACGGCCGACGGTGTTGAGGGTAATTTTGACTGTTTCCTCTTCCACGTTCCCGACCTGCGACCATACTGGAAAGTACCACAAGCCTGGTTATATCGAGATCTTAAGGCGCTGCGAATTAGAACACCTGGAGTGTTCATCTTGCAACGGAATCTACATGGTCTTCTATTCTCATGCAATGAATGATTTACCGGAAGACAAAAATGTCCCAAATGTCTTTGCGGGGGATGAAAGTATGTGGGGAGATGTATTTGTGGTTATGCAGGAGCCGTGGGAGCACGACGAGTATGGGTGGGCAGCGTATCGGGATATCCCGCGCGAGTTCCTTGCATTGGCTGCTATGACTAGAGGCTCGAGACCCACACCATTTTACCGCGGAAGATAGTTTTGAATGAATCAGGAGCACGTCTTACAGGAAATCGACAGGCGCTTGTTGATGTTCTTGTTGTGATAGTTCAGTTGGATTGCTCTAGGTCACAGATAACGTTGTAGTAGCGAGGCAGTCCGGTGACCTTGTCAACTTGCCGGATGAGGCTGGGTTTAGGTTTGGTTCGACTCGGTGTCAACGAATTTGTCTCCTTTATTTCAGTTATCTTTTTACCCTCTTCTTCCACTGCTGTTGACTCTTGAACGTTGCAGCCGATAACTAGATTTTATTGCGGCGAACAACAACTGGTTCAAATTGTCAATAGTACTCACCTAGCCGGGAGCTTTCAGAGGAATCTAGTTTGCTGCGAAGTCCATTCACATGCCATTTTCTCGTTGACTATCGACCCTTTGACTGCATCTGCTTAATTTTTTTTCTGGATCTTAGGTAGTGGACAAAGCCAATGTTTGAAAATATATTTTGCAAATATTGCTGTTGAAGTGACTGCAAAACGCGGTGAAAAATGATGAAGTGGCACACCATGTCGGGTATGCAAACAAGGCAAACAGACCAAGGAGACAACGCTTCGTCACACTCCGTCTCTTATCATCAGCAACTTCATTACTCATTAATCTTACCATCAGCATACGGGTGATAGCTAACCGTCAAATACCGAAAAAGGCTATCTGGACACGATAGAGGTGGGGTCTCCGCAGATCTACATGTCTATAGATAGACGACGGCCGGTTTTGGCGCTTGATACGGGTAGGATTGATACATCGGCCTGAAAGAATCCTTCGTTTTGAATCCCTTAAACCCCCGGCTCGGACAGTCGTTGGGTATGTCTCTCGGAAGAATGAAACATGTGTTTGGATGGCTCTTGTCAAGCTTCTTGTGTGCTAGGAGTATGTACAAGAAACTGGCTTGGTCGGACTCGAGAAAAATGCAACGCGCTAGGCGTGAACAATCCCGCCGGCTAGTTAGTAGAAAGGTGGCAAAGAAGCTAAAGCATTCGTCTGCAAGGCTGAAGGCAAACGGGGGCGCAGTGACCATACGTGGTCCCTAGGGAGTAGGCGTGAGCACGACTCACGGACGCGCAGGAGGTTCTAGAGAGGCAATTCAGCTCCCGAGAGACAGGCTCGACCCGCAAAGCACGATGAAATCCCCCCCATGCCCCCCTGATCATCGACAAGGACGGTGGTGGAGGTTGCGGGCGACGCCTGACTAGCGGCTTGGCACACGTGAGCGTCGTCAGTAGAAATCGTCGAGGATCAACTTGGCTGCTTGCAGTTTAGCTACCACGCTTCCAGCCAGCTCCTCTCGACAGCTCCAGCTTTGCAAGACCTGCAGCAGCCTGCGCACCCGTCCGACAGTGTTCTCAAAGCCCAGCCGTACGCGCTCCCCCGGCCCGACGTGGCTCTATTGCGCTAACACGTCAAAGATCGCCGCACTCGCACAAATCCTCAGTCAGGGACCGAGCACACTTCGTCACCTTCACCACCACCACCAATCGCGACTGCTACCGCCGCCATTCGTGCATATCCTGCTCCAACGCTCTCCATCACCCATGGCTCCCTCCACATTTGCATCTGCTGCTGCCGGCAGCAATTCAAACGCCAACACGACGCGTGCCGACACGGGCGGCGAATGGTCAGTACTATCTATTGTGGCGCGCCTCGGGCCCTCACCTATGCCCATTCTTCCTCAATCACCTAGCCCGTGAAACCGTCCGTTCGGTTCTGTGCTGACCCCCCTAGGTCTCGGCGCGCAAACGGCGCAACTCAAACTTTCCGTCGCCCTTCCCATGCCGCCAGCCTCTCCAACGCCGCCGCCGCCACCACCAGCGCATCGAGCCCCGGTGTCTATGTGCCTCCGCACCGGAACGGTGCCATCGCTTCCGAGACTCGATACCCCAGAGACCAGCTTCTCTCGCTTTTCCGGCAGCACACCGAAGACTCGGATGATGGGCTGGCGGATCTGTATGCGGGTAGCTGGGAGCCGAACTCTATGAACGGTGCCTCGGGGACTTCGTGGGGCAGGAGTCACGATCATGCTAAAGAAAATCAACCAGGCGCGGAGGTTTGCTGGGAGCGGGAGGGGCACATGCAGCCGGTCGGTCTGGTGGACCTAACTAATGAGGAGAAAGAGGTGAGTGCATATTTTGCAATCCGGAGAAATACGGGCTGGTTTTTGATGGCCAGCACAAACTGCATACGCTCTTTTGCGGGCTGCTAGTCTTATTTGCGCCACTTTATTAACGTAACTAACGATCGGACCAGCATTTTTTGTCCGTCAACTCCCCGTTGAAAATACCCAACCCAACGGCAAACAAGGACAATAATGCGAAGGACGGCATTACAGCGCGCAAGACTTCCGTGTCTCATTCTAATGGTCCGGGCACTTTTGGCGTATCATCTCCAACCACAAACCGCCCGGGCACACGCCGCCGCGACACTGGAGAGGCTTATCCTTTTCCGGCTACAGGCTCCCCCGCGTCCTCTAGATTTACCCAGGAATCTAACGCTGCTGTTCCCCCACCGGCTCTTCTCCGCCGGCGCACCGATTACAAGGAGCCAACTGCTAGTCCTGGACCTGGTCAAGAAGAACGCGACAAGGATAAGGCTGAGCCGTCGGCAAACCCGTTTGGAAGCCTGAAGCGTAGCGCGACAGGCCCATTTAGTGCTGGCATCTCCGGACCGTCTTCCCCGTGGAGTGCTGGCCCACAAAGTGCTGGTTTTTCTCCGATGGGCAGCTTTGGTAGTTTTGCGATTGGCGGGACTCCTGGACAAGCTTCTACCCCCACGGAGAAGAAGCCAGGACTTCCAGGCTTGAGAGGTGAAAGCCGCTTCAAGGGTTTGATGAGTAAAGAAAGTTCGGAAGACATGCAGAGAACCTTGAGGGAAAAAGCTTCTTTGAACAGCCTTGGAAGGGTCAACGAGACTGAACAGGGCAGACAAACTCCCTCGTGGATGGAAGCACGCGCCAACCGGCCCATGAGTAATGACACGGATCCGTATCTGGACGATGATAACATGCGCGCCGGCAGCGCCGCTCTTGGTGGTGGCCAGGACAGCAGTCCCCCTCGCCGCCAGATGACAGGATTTGGAACGCCCAACAGACAAGACTCTCGGGATGAATCCGGTTTCTCTGCGTTTGGAATGACTACGGACAACACCGGCCTCGGAAACTTCCTCCGTGATCCCTACGGGCACCATACCCCTCAGCATCATGGTAACGAGCCTATGAGTCCCACCGACACCAACCCGTATCAGAGCCCCGAGCATGAGAAACCGGAGCCTGATGATCTTGACACGGATGGCTCCGATATCCACAATGCCCACCTGCCGGGACTGGGTGGGTTCATGAGCGAAGCCACAGGAGCTTCTGGGATGCCCGCCTTCGGAGGTCTTGGAGGCTTGAGTCGGGTCTCCAATGCGTATGAGGGGGCTGCTAGTGACCGCAGCCAGACCTCCAGCGTTGGTGCGAACAGAGGCTTCCCTAGTCTTGGTGGACTCGCAGGTCTTCCTGGCCTTGGAGGACCATCTGCCTGGGCCTCGAACCAGCCGGCTGTTGGAACTCCCGGTCGCGAGCGCTTCGGTGCCCCCTTCCAGGAAGGTGGTTTCGGATCCGTGGGAGAGATGCAGTCACCCAGCCTTGCCGGTCTGGGCAGTAGTAACATCTTCGGTGGCGGTATTGGACCTGGCCTGAGCGGTACCGGCTCGATCGGCCGGGGCAGCAAGTTGGGCTCTCTCTTCCCTGCTGCTATGCAGGAGCAGATGCGTGCTAGTGAACAGAACAGATTCGCAAGCGAAGATGGATCCGTTGAAGGCTCCGACCGCCAGCATGGGACTTTTGGCAGAAATGCTTTTGGAGGCGCTGGTCCGCAGCGTGACACTGGCAGCCCATTCCGTGCCGGTCGCGGCGTTTTCGACGACCTTTTAGCCAACAATCAGCAAACCGGTTTCATGGAAGGCCTTGGCCCATTTGGCGCTGCGAGCTCCAGTGCTCTTCAGACGCCCACTCTGGCGGCCTCTCACCAGCAAAACCCTCTCGGTCAGCGCAATATACCGCAAGGCATACCGGGCCAAGGTCAGCCCGTTAGCAGCTCTGCTTCTAACCAACCACCTGCAGCACAACAGAGGACGATGGTCATGCCTGATCGTATGAGATGGATTTACCGCGATCCTCAGGGTAACACCCAGGGCCCATGGTCCGGACTTGAGATGCACGACTGGTACAAGGCGGGATTCTTCTCGCCTGAACTTCTGGTTAAGAAGTTCGAAGACCCAGAATACGAGCCCCTGGCTCAGCTCATTCGCCGCATTGGTAACTCCCGTGAGCCCTTCTTGGTGCCTCAAATCGGCATCCCTCATGGTCCCCCTAGCACACAGCCTGGGAATGCATGGGCCGGCGCAGGAATTCCTGCTGGCGTCCCTTCGTCTGGTGGTGCTCAGCCGCCGTTTGCAAGCAGCTTCCCTAGCTTTGGTACTACCTTGACTGCTGAGCAACAAAATGCGCTGGAGCGACGCAAACAAGAAGAGCAATACCTGATGGCCCGCCAGAAGGAGCATCTGGCTCAACAGCAGGTGCTCGTCAAGCAGATGCAGATGGGTGCGATCCACCCACAGCAGCTCCATCACCATTCGAGCGCCCACAGCTTGCACAGTCAACCAAGCTTTGGCAGCATTACTTCTCCGGGTGGCTACCAGCCATCTCCCGCGCAAGGCGCGATACCTGGTGGTCAAGCGGGTTTCTTTGACAATTCCTTTCGGTCCGGCCCGGCATCGGCTGGCCTACCGCCGATCGGTGCCGGGATGGAGATGCTAGGCAATATCAGGGAAGAGGAAATGCCGGGTATGCTCGAGCGTCTGAACCTTGGCCGCGGTGCCCAGATGCCCTTCGGCGCTGCCCCAGGAGCTTTCGGCGCTCAACATCAGGATTCGCACGCCCAGCAAGTGGCAGCTATGCTGAATGATCGTGCTCGTCTCCACCGCGAACAGGTTGAGCACGATGCTCGTGCGGCCCAGAACGAGTCCCAGGCCAACCAGGACTCTGCCAACAGACTGCAGCAGTTTAACGACCTTCGTTCTCCGCAAGAGAGCGAGGATGCTGGCGCTCAAGCTTCTACCGAAGGTGGTGACGCCAAGCCGACCTCCCAACAGGAGGAACACCAGCAGACCTTTGAGGAAGAAAAGCATGAGGAGGTTTCCGCTGAATCGGAGGCGGGTGCGCCTGTTCCTCAGCCCGAGACCCCTGCCACTAAACCATCTGAGCCTCTTTCTTTGACCGAGCAGGTCAAAGCTGCCTCTGCGAAGCAAACTCCTGCCCCTCAATCACCTTGGGCCAAGGTCGATACCACTATGCCGATGCCTTTCCCTCCTCCGCAGTCGGGCTCTCCCCTTCCTGCTCCGGCCGCCCAGAGGAAGCAGAACCTTGCTGATGCCTTGAACGCCGAATCTCGCTCGCGCTCGCAGACTCCTTCCGTTGAGACGCCCAGTGCTTCTATTGCCCCGTGGGCGAAGGAGACTACCGAAGCCCCCAAGGGGCCTTCGCTCAAGGAGATCCAGGAAGCCGAGGCCAAGAAGGCTGCCGAGGCCGAGGCTGCTGCCGCTGCTGCCCGTCGCGAAGCTTTCGAGAAGGAGATGATCGCCCAAGCCCAGGCTTCTCAGCCTGCTCCCGGGCTACCGTCCACTTCTACCTGGGCTAGCGGGGCTTCCCCGGTGAACACGCCTTCCACCCCATCTGCATGGGCGAAGCCTGCCACTGTCAAAACTCCCGGCACCCCCGGAACCAAGAAGACGCTTCAGCAAATCCAGAAGGAGGAAGAAGCTCGCAAGCAGCGCGCCGCGGCTGCTGCCGCCGCCAGTGCGGCCACCGCCAATGCTGCCGCTCTTTCCCAAGCTATGGCTGCTGGTAAACGCTATGCTGATCTCGCCAGCAAGCAAGCTGCTCCTGCGAACGCCGGCTCTGCCCCTGGTGGCGCTTGGACTACCGTTGGCGCCAGCGGCAAGGTGAAGGCCCCGGCTGTCGTCATTCCCACTGGCCCTGCAGCCACCAGAAGTGTTAGCTCCAGTACGACTCCTGTTACCGCCAAGGCCAAGACCGTTGCTCCCGCGCGTGCCGGTACCGCTTCAACTCCTGCGCTTAATGCTCAGGAAGAGTTCAAGAAGTGGGCCACCAACGAGCTCAGGACTGATCTCAACAAGGGTATCAATGGTAAGACTCAACATGTTTATGCATTTAAATTCTATACGCTAACATAACAACAGCCGAGGAAGTTTGCAGTATTTTGCTCGCCTGCCCACTCGAGCTCGAAGTTGTCACCGAAGCCGTGCACGGTGTTTCCCAGACAATTGACTCGCGTCACTTTGCTGAGGAGTTCATCCGCCGCAAGAAGCTCGCCGATAAGGGCATCGTTGATACGTCGGGCACTTCTAGCCCCGGCCCAATGAACGGCTCTGGTGGCTGGAACGAGGTGGCCAAGAAGGGCGGAGCTGCTGCCCAGACTAGCACGCAGGCGCAGAAGGAGGACGTTGCATTCAAGGTCGTTGCTGCCAAGAAGAAGGGTGGTCGGAAATAGGTGTAGGCGTGCGAGTGAGAGCTAGGCATGCCGATGGAGCGGATGTCCGCGGGGCGTTGTGGCCGTCCAGAGCAGTGTTTCTTTCTCTGCTTTTCCACTGTTTTGCCGCGGCCATGACTTCTGTGCGATGAGGTTTCCGCGTCGTTCGTAGCTTGCAGAATGCGATACTTTGAATGAATTGATACCTACCTATGTATGTCACGAGGTTCAACCCGGTATAGTCACGTGCCGAGGTGAGGGCAGCATGGCTCGTGCTTTGCGTCATTGGAGCCCTTGGGCAGTCGCAACCCGGACCTCTCTTCGACTGTCTCTCCCTTGGATAAGAGCACTAATCTCACGAAAGCCTTTGCTGATCAAAACATTCGCTGCGCCTTCACATTGAAGCTGCAAATCTCCCGGGTCGTCGTCTTATTTCTGCACCTAGCCACCTGACGCGTTTGGTCACGCGTCCTGGGGGCTGCTCTCAAGATCTCATACTTTTGTACGCTTCGCTCTTCTCAGATCTCGGATGAAAACTCTCCGGAGCAACTCGATATGGCAGGCCTTTCAGACCTTCCCCTAGAACTAGTTCTATGGGTCTTTTCCTATGTCGACGACATTGCCGATCTGCTGAACCTCTCACTCGTCTGCAAGGCAGTCAACATACACGTGGAACCTTTAGTCTATCGCTACTACACGAACTCAGACCGCGACTTCACTGAAAGCGGCTCGCGCTCCATGCGCGCCTTCTTCAGAACTTTAGCTATCCGTCCAGAACTGGCTTTGCATGTTAAGTCTGTCGATTTTTATCCATGGCACATCAAGCGGGACTTCAAGGAGCCAGAATGGGACTACAAACCTAAGCGCATGCCGGACCAGGTGTTCGAAACGTATGTGAACGCAGCCAAGAAAGCGCAGATAATGGATGCAGCGCAGGATTGCTACAGCTTGCGCCCCATGCGACAGCTCAATCCCTGGGAGTCGTTTTGGTTTGATGATTCAGACGACGACTCCGACGGCCATCGACGCCGATCTCATCCCACTCGGTCTACCCCTAGTGTCGGCGATCCGCACGACATTGCTTTAGCAAGGTGCCTACGACAAGGCATCCAAGAAGCCGAAGTGATCGTTCTCTTATCACAACTGTCCCGACTCGAAGAGATGAACCTGCGAGGCTGGCCGGGTGGATCCTTGTCCATGCAAAAGTTATTTTCGCGGACTCCACATGGCTTTTCTGCGCTTAAGAAGCTTCGTGTAAGCGGCATAGATGGAGAGCTCGAGTTTCTTCTTGCTGAATTAGCACCCGTACTTCGTCTGCCTTCCATGCGGACACTGGAAGCATATTGTGCCACAGATCAGGACGACGACGGGCGGCGCAAGATTCTTGCCTTCGAGCCAGGTTCGCTGTCCTTGACGAATATATTTCTCGAATTTTGTGCATTCAGTCAGCACTCTATAGCGAATCTCCTAAAGGGTTGCAAGGCCCTCGAAAAGTTTACCTACATTACGGGAGGACCGTCTATCGGCCCCTACCAGTTTACTGCACCAGAACTGAGAGAAGCCTTGCTCTGCCAGAAGGGAACACTCAAATATTTTTACTTGGATCTGTCGATGGAATGGAGTTATCTGGATGATTACGGAATCATTGGATCACTTACTGAGTTCGAGAAGCTGGAGGAACTGACCATGGATTATGGAGCTCTACGTGCTCATATGTCTATCCTTGATGTCTGGACAGGCGGTGATGAAGGACACACGATGCACGCCCATCTAGACCAATCACTGGGAGAACAACTACCGCGTTCTTTGCAGCGGCTCAACATCATCGCCACCTCGCACATAATCGTCCCAATTCTCTTAGAGTTCCTAGAACATGCGACTGAACGGAATCCTATGCTGACGAGACTCAACATCGACCCTATGGATAAAGATTACGGGCTGGATGACCCTGACGAGTACCAGGAGATGCTGTACCGTTTCAAAAAGGCCGGCATCACATTCACGGAAACCCTAGAAAGCGAACGCCAACCTCGATCGAGAATGAACAGCTGGGTCAGCGAGGGATATCCGAACAACCTAGTGCGCTGGAACACTCGAAAGCGGAGATACGAGCGCTACGAGGCAAGCAAGCGCCATCTGTATATTGCTGCGCTGGGAAACACGGTTGCTGGACGGCTTTACCAGAACCATCGGCCGGCACGGAGGGAGTCGACGCTGCGTACTGCGCGGATACTGAGGCCGAACCGGCGGTGAAGGGGATGCAGTGGCGGTGGCGGTGCGTTAATGTGAGGCCTTCTGGATTGGTCGTGGCTATGGTTTGGCGCTGCTAGATTACTGGTTGGGGGTTTTCAGGGAAATGGCAGTTGTATAGTCTATGTATTGTACATTTCTGGCGTCACGGGGCGTACAAGGCGTTTATAATGCCAGTCAGCTTACTCCACACGGCGTTTCGAATCGAACTTTTGCACATGCGTTTGTAGCGGTCGCGGAATAGTTTGGCATTTGAAATTTCGAAGCAAGTGTCTAAATGGGGTAATGACTACGCGGTACGCGGTACGCGGTGGTGTTCGAGGCCCAACTTGAAATCAATAGCTGGAAAACAAATCCATGAGCACCAGCTAGCATAGCGAGGCGGATTTTGGCTGTGGAACCTGCTCCCAACAATATACGTTAAGAGTAGGTAGGGCGGCCAACTCTCTTGTCTTCAGGTGGGGTCGATGAATAATGATTTTGGTTTATGGTTTCTTTGGTGGGATTTGCGGTACCCTATCGTAGTTGCGGGGCTTTGTTCTAAATATCTAATATCCCTATTTCATATTCCAAGTCCATAAGTATGAGCGCTACTAATATGTCTCCCTTTGAATTTATAGCTGCCAACGAGACAACTGCCTGGCAGATATTTAGGTATCACTAGCTATCTCAATATAACACGTACTCAATAAAGAAGTTACCTAAACAGTCAATCAACCAACCAACCAACCAGCCAATCATCAATCAGCCAAGCCCCAGATGCGAGCGTGACAAGCCGCACACGCGTGTGACCCGGAGCGCAAGCGAAGCGCGGCTCGAATTGGTAGCGGGGGAGGACGGAAGAGCGGCTCCCTCGCAGCCCAACCGGGGCAAGGCAGACACGCGGGCGGGTTTCAGCTGGGAAAATGACCGCCGCCTCGTGTGCGTGGTCGTAAGCACCTAGGTAGCAGCACCCGTGGTAGGGGCGGTCTGCCCTTGCGATAGTGACAGACATAGCCCCCAAGCCCCCAAGGCCCCAGACCCCTTGTCGCGTATATAAAGCAAGGCTTTGGGCGCTCTTTGTGTCGCGCGGCTGCGAATCTCACGCTGCCTTTTTCCTCCGTCCTTTATCTACCTACCCCTCCTTCCTTCCTTCCTCGCCGCATTCCTAGGTACTTATCGGTGCTTGGACTACCCTACCTACACACCTACTTCTTGCGCGCCGAGGCTTGATACTCTACCACTCTCACTCTCACTCTCACCATGGCTAGTAACGACTATTATGGCGGCGGCGGCCACCCGCAAGGCCAGGGCTACGGCTACGACCAGCAGGGCCAGTACGGCCAGCAGGGCCAGTATGGACAGCAGGACCAATACGGGCAGCAGCACCAGTACGGCCAGGGCCAGTACGGCCAGCACGACCAGTATGGGCAGCAGCCGCAGTACCAGCCGCACCAGTACGGCCAAGAGCAGGCGCACAGTGGCTACGGCGCCGATGCTCACGCACAGGTACGTATACCTATAGCCAAAAGCGAGGTTATCGGGAGAAGGAAGCTGACACGTATGGAACGGCGCAGACCGGCTACTCGCCTGCCCCGGGCTACGGCAACACGGTCGCGCCGTACAACTCCGAGCAGGGCGTCGGGTACCCGACGTACCAGCCGCCGCAGGACCACAGCGGCGCGGAGCGGTACGCGGGGTATAATGCGCCGGCGGACGCGTCGCAGGGCCAGTACCAGCAGCACGGCGGCGGGTACGGGTACGGTGGCGCGGACGCAGTAGCGCCCGGCGGCGCAGCAGAGGGCGAGCGCGGCCTCGGCTCCACGCTGATTGGCAGCGCGGGCGGCGCGTTCCTGGGGCACAAGATGGGCGGCGGTGCGCTAGGGACGATTGGGGGGCTGGTGGCGGGGGCGATTGGCGCGAATATGCTGGACGACAAGCATGACAAGTGAGATTGCCTTTTTGTGTCTGGATGGAGTAGGTTATGGATGCTGACGATTATGTCCAGGGACAAGAAAAAGAAGAAGAAGAAGCACCACAAGCACCACGGCAGCGGTGAGTATGGATCGTCGCATCATGGCAGCAGCTACGACGGCTCGAGCACGTATCTGGGGAGCTCGGCGGCCATGGGCGGCTTGTATGCTGGGAGTAGCCATGGCGGGCACCATCACCACCATAAGCACAAGCACCATTCTAGGTCGAGGAGCAGGGGTGGGAAGAGCAGCAGCTCTTCTTCTAGCGACTCGGACTAGAGCTAAAGTAGATTGACGACTGATGATGGCATTGCTTTTTTTTTTCTTTTTTTTTT